GAACTCAGATGTCCTTCAACAGAAGAATGGATGCAGAAATTGTGGTACATTTACACAATGGAGTACTACTCCGCTATTAAAAACAATGAGTTCATGAAATTCTTAGGCAAATGAATGGAGCTGGAAAATATCCTGAGTGAGGTGACCCAATCTCAAAAGAGCATACATGGTATGCACTCAATGATAAGTGGATATTAGCCCAAAAGCTCACAATACCTAAGGCACAATGCATATGCCACATGAAACTAAAGAAGAAGAAAGAAGACCAAAGTGTGGGTGCTTTGGTCTTTTTAGAAGGAGTACCAAAAGATTCAATGAGAGCTCCCAAGGTCTAAACGTCCAGCCTGAGAGCACAAAGGGAGTGACTCATGTCTCTACCTGTATAGATAATTGAGTGTGGCCTTGTCAGACATCAGTGGAAGTGTAGGGCCATGGTCCCCAGAAGTTTGGATTCCCTAGTGTTGGGGAATTAGAGAGCAGGGAGATGGGACTGGGAAGATATTTGGAACACACCCTCATAAAAATAGGAGGAGGCGGTATGGGATAAGAGGTTTTGGGGGAGAACGGAGGGGAGATAACATTGAAATGTAAATACATAAAATATCCAATAAAAAAAACCAGATAATTGGTCTGGAAAAAAAGATAGTTTACTTATTTCAAATTATTTTCAAAAGTTTCTAGGAGATGCTAATTGGCTAAGATCTTATTTTAAGCTCTCCACAAAAGAATTTAAGTCTCCGTTTAATATTCTCAACAGAAATGTAAATCCTAATTCCCCTCAAAATTAATTGACAAAAGATAAGTAATCTCACAAAAAGTAGAAGCTATTATTAATTGATATATTATATAGTCTGATTAGTTCTTAGCTGTTCTATAACAGTCCTTTGATAAAAGAGATTATTAATATAGATTTATATTTCTTTAAATAGTGTCTTTATGACTCTCTGAGTGTGGAAGGAGCAGCAGGTGGTACTTCTGCCCTGATTTTACAAGAACTCTGAGAAACTGGCTTTAAAAACAAAAGAGGGGGAACGGTACACCCCCCCCAGAAATACTGTCTATCATGCCTTGTGTACTTTTAACTCTCTAAACCCAAAAGCTCATGACAAATCTACTGCTGATTGCCTCTGGCATCACCAAGAACAAAAAAAACTATGCCACAGCTGTGTGGAAGGACCCTCTTACCCTTAAAGGGAATGGCCCAGACACAGTTCTCTTATGGGGCTGAGGATTGATATGCCTGTTTGATACTACAGAAGGCACAGCTAAACGGCTACCAAAAAGATTAATGAAAAAAAATAGATACCCCTACAAAGCCAGGCCCAACCATAAATAAGATGAATAACAATTGACATACAGGGAAGAGAAATCTCCCTGAGAACTCTCTTCTTTTTCCTTTTCAGGTAAAAATGAATCACCTGTGATGTCTGCTGTTAGAAGTTCTAATCCAGATGCTGGCCTTTGAATTTATACTACTCAAACCTTCGATGGGCCATTGACAAGAATATCAAACAGCTAGAGATTGAAATCACTAATCTGAAGAAATTCCTTGTTTCGTCATCTGAAGAGACCTCCAAAAATTTCAAAGTAATTTATTCGACATGATTTACTGTTTTATAATAGAAAACACTGTGTACAGCTCTTAACTGTGTATGGCCCTTAAAGAAGAATGTTTCTTTTACATAGACAAGACAGGGATGGTTAAGGAAAGCATGAAAAAGGTCAGAAAAGGCCCGGAGAACAGATAGAGAGAGAAAGAGAAAGATGAGAGCTGGTACAAGAATTGGCTTTCAACCTCTCCATGGTTGTTAACCCTACTTCCTCCCATCTTGGGTCCAGTAATTGGGGTTATTTTTTCTTTTCTTTTTTTTTTTTTTTTTTTTTTTTTTTG